AAAAAAGAAAAGGAGAAAAGAAAGAAAAAAGGTAAAAAAAAGAAAAGAAACATAGAAATAAAAAAGAATTGAAGAAAAAAGAGAAAATTCCCCAATAAAACTATTATGGGCAAGAAAAGTAATTAGTTTGATGGGTAAAAAAATAAATGGGTAGATAAGGGTAAATAATTTTGTTTTTGTGGGTAACTGTAAAATGGCTAAATAGTGTCATTTCCACCGTAAATTCTGAACATTTTGTTGGCCCAAACAAATAGCGAACTAGCCCAAAACAAGGCCCAACTACACTATTATTCATATTTCATACCATTAAGAAAGAAGATTCGAGTAAGATATGCACCTTTTTCGGGAATAAAAAAAGGGAGAAATTCAAAAATAGCCAGATTTACAAGTGGTCATTTAAAAATAGTCACAGTTTCAAAAGTAATCGAAATTTAGCCATTTTTCATGTAAGATAAATCTGAACGAAAACACTGTTTAAAATTTGGAAAAATACTCCAGTATAATATACTAGAATTCCAACATAAGTATACTGGAACTCTAGTATATTATACTGGAATTCCAGCATATTATACCGGCCCAACATAAAATACTGGAGATTGGAGCACCGGTGCTCCACTCTGGAACTTTCTGCGTGTTGGAGTTCCAGCATAATATGCTGGAAGTTCATATACAGGTGCACCGATCTCCAGTATATTATGTTGGAACTTTCCATGTTGCAGCAAAATAGTGACTATTTTTCAATGACCTTGCAAATGCTGGCTATTTTTGAATGACCAGTCCGAAAACTGGCTAGCCCGTGCTATTTTTACCAAAAAAAAAATCGTCCTACTTTCATTTGGTTTTTGGGCCTAAATTTGTTGAATCCTCGAATCTCAATCAAATTCTTTGTTTCATAGTTGAATATATTTCTATAACTTCATATTTAATAATGCCTAAACTCTTTCTTCTGCATCACAGCATCAACAATTATCGGAATAAGCAAGACTACTATTTTTAACGGAAAATAATTGATACAAACATAATCCAATTACCATTTAGGAACTAGTGCAAGAAAAAATTCTTGAAAATCTAATAAAACACTTAACCTTGAAAAGATTGTGGGATTATGGCTAATGGGAACAGTTCTCATATGAGAATAACTTAGGTTACTTTTGTCATGTCACTCTCTTAGTCACACTAAACACAACATAAAAAGATGAATATTAGATGACCAATATAAAAAAGCAGCACGGTACACTAAGCTCCCGTTATGCGCGGGGTCCGGAGAAGGGCCGGACCGCAAGGATCTCTTATACGCAACCTTGCATTTTTGCCGGAGGCTGTTTCCACGGCTCGAACTTGTGGCCTCTTGATCACATGTTAACAACCTTACCAGTTACGTTAAGACTCCTCTTCAATTAGATGACCAAAATACTGTTTAAAAACCAGATTTTGAATACCATGATCAAACATAGACAGTTCAAAAGAAGGCTCTGCTACCATAAAACACTCTTGAATTCTCTTTCCTCTTATTGTTATTCATATCTGATGAACTTCCATTATTCTGAATCACATGATCTTTCTGATCATCAAGATCAGCTCCTGATTTATCCAAGTCCAAAGGCAGCTTCATTTTTGCTAATGATTCAGTAAACTGCTGCATACTTCTCATGTACATATCAACTATTTGCTGCTGCATAGCTGATTGTTCTGCATCAATCTTGATTATATTCCCTAATGGAGCTGAAAATACCACATGGGGTTCTTTCCTTTCTTCGTTTTCGTTCTTAATTGAGTCCCTTTTATCGATCATGTTATCGATCTTTTTATCTGGTGATGAGCCTGCTGAGTTCCTGTCATCACTTAGTGTACTTGTCAATGAGCTAAGGAACCAAGAATTGTGAATACTTTCTTTTGGAGAAATATTTGAGTCATGATCATCAGCAATTTCATCATCATCTTCTTCTTCTGATGGATTAATTGCAGCCATTTCGTAGTCATGATTCTCGGGCTGCTGCTGTTTTTGACTGTGAAATGATGCAGAAAGTTGGAGAAATGAACCACCTAAGTCAAAATATTGGGACACCATTTCTTGATTCTGTTTAACTAAGTTGATCTCAGGAAACTCAATTCTTGAATACTCGATCGGATCAAGAACAAGTTGAGATGTATTTCTGTCTAGTAATACAACTTCTGAACTTATAGAAGAAGAAGATGATGGTGAACAAGAAGGATTATTTGATACTGAAATGGGGTTGTTGGTATTCAAGAAAAGTGACAATTTAACAGTACCAGCAGGAGAATGAAACAAATCAGTAGAAGAAAGACTAAAATCTTGAGTGATTTTTCCTTTACCAATAACTGAAGAAATAGGTACTAAAGCAAATCCTAAGAGTTGATCTTCCATTAGTGTTTTGGCTCTACTAAGCATCCATATTTCACATTTGAGAATCGAGTCGATTTGGGATACTTTCATAGCTAAATCTTCATTGAAATCTGGATTTTTGCCACCACCATTTATGATCCTTGTTGATATGGCTTCATCAGGATTGTAAGTAAGGGAAAATTTGGCATAAACATCTTGGTTGTCATAGATACAAATGTTGTGAATGTTCCTAGCATGGTGTACATGAATTTCAAGAATTCCAGAGAATTCAGATTCTGAATCTGTACTTATATTTGGATTGTATAAAAAACTTGTTGATGTTTGCTTGAAAGAGTCCATAAAAGGAAAATCAAAAATCTAGTTCTTTCAAATCAAGAAATGGAATAGGGGATAGGCTGATGTCTTGTGTGCTAATTTGTTATAGCTNGGCTTGGGGTGGCAAAAACAAGCTAAAATATCATGTTTTAGTACATATAACATGTTACTTGAAGTGCAAACATGGCATTGGAGGTTTGGAACATTTCTTTCTTTCTTTAAGGGGTGAGAGGACAAGGATAAGAGTGACTTACAATTGAACTAGAGAAGTTTCTAGTGGAATTGTGTAGGTGGAAAGAAGCGAGAAGTAGGTACTAATATAGTATGGAAAGGGTAGAAAAAGAAAGTGCTTAACTTCTATGCGCTTATCGCGTAAATGTCTGTATACTATTAGATCACTAAAAGATAACTGCGAGTAATAATTCAAAAAACATAAAATTAGTAGTAACAAGGAAAATAAGGTAGGTTAATTATTTCAACAGATAAAATTACACTCTTTATATTGTCAATGTACATAAATTAAATTAAAAAAGAATTACTAGGAGGGAAGAGTGAGCAAGATGAGAGGAAGGGTTAGTTTTTAAGTATAATAACTAACCATGAACCAACAAGGGTGGTGGTGGAATGGTAAGTACTCCTTCATCCTTAACTAGAGGTCTCGGGTTTGAATCCCTAGGTGTAGAATCGCCTTTGTTAAGGAGAACTTTACCCCCAATGTGGGACTTTCCGGCACGAATCTGGATTTAGTGGCGACACAAATATGAGTATCGGACACCGGATGGGAAACCCCAAAAAAATAACCATGAGATTTTCATGTTTTTATTTATTTTGACTTAACTTCTTGTTGGTTTGATTGTCTAACATCATTTTAGAGTGAAGATCTTTCTCAAAAATATTTTTATCAATTTTGCACTTTGAAAAAGGGGAAGAATTTTCTAAAAGGAGAATGATGATAATGATGATGAAATGAGAATGAGGACTAATTTTTCTTCCTCCACTTTTAAATGTTTTCTCTAGCTTTTGTGGAGTGGGTGAAAGATAGAGAGATATTTGGTTAAGTGTGGGGTTTTGCTTTGCTTGGCATTGCAGTTTTCTTCATTTGCTATCACTACCTATTGAAAATGGAGGTCCTACCATCTCCATTTCATCATTCTTGACTCTTATTCAAAGATTCTCTTCAACGTCTCAATAGATTTTGTCATGTGTTATAATAACTTTACCTACTCCTATTTTAAGGAGTCTTGAAATAGTTTACTAAGATTTGTTGGTTTAGTTAAGAAAATGTGTGATTAAGACATTAAGGGCCGTTTGGTTGGAAAACAAGTTATTCCGGAATTAATTATCCCAGGATTAGTTATTCCGGAATTGTTATCTTATCCTCCTATAGGGATAAAAATAACACTACAATTCCGAAATAACTAATCCCGATATTAGTTATACCATGATTTTATTAATTAAACGTGAGATAAACTCATCTCAAATTTAATCTCGGAATTAATTATCTCTTATCTTTCGTACCAAGCAAGCCCTAAGTGTATGCAATCTAATTGTCAATAAAGTGAATGAATCATGGGAAACTAGGATTCACATCTTAACAGAGCCAAAAATTGCTGAATGATTACTTTTCATCTGCCTAAAGCGTGAAGAGGAGAGTTGCCCAGTGCTTGTGTTGATCTAAAGTAAAAAGTATCCGGTGAAATAGTCGATATGCGCATGTGCAAACTGGTTCGAACACTATCATAATACCAGATATCAGTTGATACATGTGGAGGGTTTAGATTTGTTTACACATAGATTTCAGGGTTGATAAGTGGCTAGGAGTTGTCAGTCTCATCCATTTCACTTTATATATCCATCAACTAACTACTAGCAATCATCATAGTGAGTAAATCATGGACATGCAAGATTTACTCCATGAAAATCAGTGAGAGGAAGGTTGAATTCTTAGTGCTGAATCTTGTTAGATCTAATGTGATGAGTAAAGATGTTGGAACAAAAAGAAAAGGTTAAAGATGCTGAACTAAACTAAAGTGGCAGCCATGTACAAGATATCCCGCGTTCACCCAAATTCGGAAAAAAACCGCACCCCAATGGGTGTTATATAGACAACCTACCCTAATGCAAGCACTAGTGATTGCTTCCCTGGCTCGAACCCTTATCTATAGGTCACACGAAAACGACGAAGACGACTTTACTGTTGCTCCAAGCCTCTTGTTCTAGTTGAACTAAACTAAAATCCATAAATAATTTGAATGATCCATCATGGAAAAAGGCACTATGAGAATATGCCCAAAACTGGTAAATATGTGGAATAAAAAGGTTACTCCACATAAATTAGTACTACCTTAAAAATTAAACAAATGGAACATATTTACAGGTCTTTTGAATCCTCCATCCAATGCTATCTGAAGCAGATAAGAGAATTGAAAAAGATTACTAAATGTCAAGAATCTAAGACAACTATGAAACTCACCTAACAATGTACATTTATTGGGGAAAACAAGGAGTTTTCTTTCCCCTTTGTCAAGGATTATAAATATGTGGAAATAACAACAGGGACATGAACATAGTCCATCCCATTATACCAGTAAATCCAGCATATTGACCATGTCAATTATTTTACAAACAAGAGAAATAAAATACTGTACAGGGGTGCGCAATTCATGAAGTGATGATCTTTAGGGTTGTCTAGGAGCACAACTCACTTCCGACCCATCCTAACCAAACGCTGCTGGTGCTTCTCAGCGGCCGCCTTATCAGCAGCTTCACGCTTCAGTGCCCTCTTTGCACGCCGGCCAACAAGTTCTTTAGGAACAGCATCCTCCTTCTTCGGCTCACGAGAGGGGCCAGCACCAGATTCCTGAGAGTTAGGTCGATAAACAGGCCTTGCTTCTTGCCTTCCTGCACTAACATATCCGTTATCACCCCATCGTCTGTTGCCGATACGGAGTCTCGATGAACTACTAACGAAATAATCTTCTGCTAAATCTTCTTCTTCTTCGTAATCATACATGTATAAGTCATCCATATCATCATCAACCTCCGCCCTTTCCTCCACAATCAAAGGTTTAAACCATGATGCCCTAAGGAGAAGGCAAACGCTCTCCTCAAACATGTAGTCCTGAAGGCTGTTAAAATGGGCGAATAAATTATTACTCAATGATGATAGAAGTCACCAGCTGCAACTAAGGAATTAAAAATCCACAATAGTATAGATGGCAAACACAGAAACAACAATGCGCTAAGTCAATATGTCAAAGCAAAAAATAGAACTGGAAAAGTTTTTGGTCTCAGAATAATTATAACTCATAAAGAGAAAAGTCGCCACCTGCAACGAAGGATATTTTTCTTTAACTAAGGAATTCCAAATCCAAATAAAGTACAGGTGGCAGAAACAGAAACAACAATGCATTATCATGCGAAGAAAAAAAAACTAGACAAGTTTTGGGTCTCCGGTACAACCTAGAAAGCTTTTTTTTTTTATTTGATCAATACAACCTACAAAGAATTAATATTTTGAAAATCAAACCGTGAAGAATAGTTAATATCATGAAAATACAGCCTTCTTATAAATTAGGGAATGTTAACATTAGTTATCATCTAATGTTTTTTCGGTGTATTTGCAAGGTAAAGGGACAAGATTATTTTGAACACCATTTTTTGATAAAGTTATATGGAACACCATTCTGAAACACTAAGAGATTCTTGAGACACTATAAGTTATGTTGCGCGAACTCTCCAAAATGTTGCCGCACCCATGTCGGATACTTCTAAAATACATTAATTTTGGAGTATCCGACACGCATCCGGGTATATTTTTGGAGAGTCCGAGCAACATTGACTATAAGAGGGTAGACATCTGATAGTCACTGGATGCACAACCTGAGCTTGGTAAACAAAGTACATGAAGATACTCTAGAGATCAACTTGTTCTGGCATATTTAAAATTAAAGGGAACTTGCTAAGAAATCGAGCAGTTATCTGAACCTCTCTAGATTAAACTCTTGATAATATGCTTCATAAAACATCACCTCCCTCCCTCCGTCCCTCTAGAGATAGCACCACGACCCCAACCAAAGAAAAGAAATGGCAACTCATGTCCCACAACTTTAAAGGTCCAGTTGCCCCCACGGAACTTGCCTTCTAGCAATTGAAGGGTTGGAGGACAATGTTGCGAACCAAGGTTTTCGACACCATTTATTTCTTCCCATCGGCCTAAATCTTGGTGGGCATAGTATCCGGTGTCTGCTAATTGGGAGAAAGCAAGAAGGGACAACACCAGAAGAAAATTCAAATTTAAAGGTGAAGTTACCAACGCAATTGCTTTGTAAATTAAATCGATATGTTACTCCAGCAAATAAGACAATGCCATGTCAGAGCAGATAAAAGTGTTAATGAGATACCAAACGGACCAAGTTAGTAGCATCATGATGAATCACAATATTTAAAGGAAAGAAGATGTACTCAAAACTGATTAGTTACCTTCCATCAAGTGTGCGATGGATGTAGACAAACTCAAATGGATGCTTACACTGAGGGCATGTTGGTTCCTTTTTATAGGTTGCCCATCGAAGGATACAAGTCACACTGAACATCAAAAGGAAAAACATATTATCATCATAAGATTTTCTGAAATTACAAAGAATAGACATGTAAAGCACACAAAAATACAAATTAATGCAAACCATCGAACTTAGAAAATTACTATACGCCTTTAAAAAGATGGGTTTCATAGTAATAAAGTCCGATCAGAAATAAACACATATGAAGCAGCAGCACGACAGTCACAAAACCACAATATAACCTAGCACACACTGATTAGTGAACCATGCAATCACAAGAACCTCTCATAAACAGAAGTCGAAGCACATATCAAGACCACATTTGACAATATCCAAAGAGAAGTATCTATATAACCACTGGACTTGGGCAGCAGATAGGGTAGGATGCTGTTTAAGAAACCAATGACAGAGACCACCATAAGACATGACTTGTATTTATGGCCAAGGACTAAGGAAAAACTACACGCAAAACATTACTTCTGCCCCCACCCAATATATACAGTAGCCGCCGATGCAGAAGTAAATCTTTTTCATATTTTCCTTACCTCACCACTGCAAATCTGTCTCCAGGAAAAATTGGGCTCAAAAAATTTAAGAATGTCACTGCAGTAACCAGACCAAGAATATGCAAGAAAAGTCTCTTTTCCTTCTCTTTTCCAGTCTCGCAATTAAAAGAGTGGCTAAGCAGAATCAGTACCCCTGACATATATGATTGTCTCCGTGAAAGTTTGGATTCAAAAAATATAAGAATGTCATTGCACCAGACCAAAAATTGCAAGAAAAGTCTCTTTTCCTTCTATTTCCCCATCTCGCAATTAAAAGGAGCTACTAAACAGAATCAGTACCCCTGACATATTGATTCTCCCCTTCGCTATTAACCTCCATTTACCGCCATTTTGATCTTCATTACAACAAAATAATTGTAACATCATCTTAGTGGATAATTAGGTGCAAGACCAAAAAAAAAAAAAAAAAAAAAAAAAAAAGGTGCAAGACCAAATTGATGTGATATGTTTATCTAAAACAGGAATGAACAGAATGGAATCAAGTGTCTACTGATCAAATGGAAGTAATGACAAAAAAGAATAGTCGGTTAGACAAACCAGTACGCATGCTCGCAACCTTTTACCAGGGCAGTTTCTTCAAGCACTATCTTATTCAAGCAAATAGCACAAATCCCATGATGGTTATTCTCGCACCCAACTCGGTGTGTTTCCTCAGCTGTGCTCTTCATTTTGTTCTGAAAGGAAATCCCATATCAATCAATGGAACCCATATAGTGAACCCCAATATGGCATCTAAACTCAATCCACACAAGAATAAGATAGAACTAGAAAATTCCGAGCTATTGTAAAGTCACAACGTAAAAGATATAGTTAGTTTAGTACGCCCAAATAGAAAGGTTATATAGTCTATTAGACAAGTTACTAAATATGCATTGCCATTCAAATTAACCAATTTTCAGCAGTTCTTTGCACACAATTACTATTCCCTTCCATTATAAGCTGTCCAGAAAAAAGGCCTACTTTATGATAACAAACAAGTAGCACATACAAGAAACTCCGGGAACCACAACAAGCAGAAGCTCCCAAATCGACTAGAAGATAAAAGTTCCAACTTTTATCAAATTTCATAATCACCTTGCCATAACTAAAGCTCTTCATCAAATAAAATCAGATGAATAGAGTCAACTCAAGATATTCTAACAATCCCGGCTTCTCTCAAAAACTCGTGAAAATTTACAATAAGCATCAATTATCATCACAAAACTACCCCATCACACAAATCTTCACTCAACTACGTCGTCGATCCTCCCCCTAGGATTTGGACTAGTCATAAGAGCACAATTTGTTATGCGTGGGTTAGGCGCACGCCAATGGTTCAAACCCTGTTGTAGACAAAAGCCTAGTATCTAAGTGGAAAGTGGTAGACGGGTTGGCCCAGGGTTGTAAAAAGCGGCGGCTACCTCGCTTAAAGCGAGAAGCGAAGCGAGGCATCGCGCTTCTCTTAACTGAAGCACAGCAGATTTACAAAAGCGTTCGCTTTCCCTGAAAAAAGCAAGAAGCGATGAAGCGATGTGAAGTGTAAGAAGCGAGCGCTTCTCTTTATAACAGGGCTGCAACGTATTTAATTAAAAAAGCTGTCTTTTTTTAAAAGATCATCGAGCAGCAACAACAGAGAACAACAGAAGCAACCTAGGATTCAAGTTTTCTACACTTTACAACTTCAAGATCATCAAGTTTGGTCCCAGGTATGTGATTTATTCTTCCTCCTCCTCCTCCTTTTCTTTCACCGTTTCAATGTCCAAGTAGGCGAAAAAAATTTTCCCCTTCAATTCTTCTTTCTCATTCTTCTCCTCTTTTTCTTCTTCATTTTCTTGCATTGTTTCAGTGATAAAAAGATTGAAATGCTGGCCATTTTTTCGTTTCAGTTATACTGCCCTTCTTCATATACTTACTGCATTTTTTTCATATCATTTATTCTTAGTTCCTAATGTCTTTCTTATATGTTATGTAGTTGTTCTTTTAATGGAACCAAAAGAAGATAGGAAAAACCCGGCTTGAGCTTGTTCTGCAAGAGTTAGCGAGACCAACAAGATGGCAATTAGATGTCCTTTTTTGTGGCAAGATTTCAAATGGGGGAATCTATCGTCAAAAAGAGCATCTAATCGGTGGTAATCCAAACGTCGCATCTTGTCCTAAAGTTCTGCCGCCTGTGAAGGAAGAATTGAAAGCATACCTTCAAAAATGAGTTAAGGACTCAAATGCATCATAAACAAGAACTGCATAATCTTGATGATGACGATGATGAAATAGAAGAAGGTGGTGATGGTTCGCCGCATCCATTAAAATCACAAAAGCGGGGAAGGATACAAACAATGCCTTCAAGTTGTGGATCTACTGGTAAGAGTAAAGGTCCTATGGATTGTTATTTCTCGCAAAAACCAAAAGATATGGGAGGAAAAAGTGGTAATCCTCAAATTGATGCCAAAGCGATTTTGAGGGATCGTGTAGTTGCAATGTTTGCGTGGTGGATGTATGATGCAGGTCTTCCTTTTAATTATGTTAATATACTGACACTTTTTCTGCTTCTATTGCGGTTGTATGCCAATATGGTCTAAGAATGAAGCCTCCAACTTATCATGAAGTTAGAAGTCAATATTTAAAAAAAGAGGTGGAAGAGGCTAACAAAATCGTGAAGGAGCACAAAGTAGAATGGAACAAGTATGGTTGTTCCATTCAGTGTTGTCAAAGGTGAAAAGCGCAAAAAAAACTCAAAGGTTTGTTGAGGTTTTAAGCGCAAAGCGTAAATAAAGTGTGAGTTTTAATGAAGAAAGGCGCAAATGGATACAAACTACAAATATGTACGTGTAGTCCAAGACTAATATCTATCAACATGAATACCAAATATATGGACAAAGAAATTGAAGAAAATTTACGATAAAGTGAAATATCAATTGTTTAGTGTCGCGTTTTCTGGATTACGCTCATTAGCAAGGAAAAGTATGCCTTAGAGCCTTGATGACAACACTAAAGCGCCCGTTAAGCGAGGCGAAGCGCTCAACATGTTTTGAGCCTCGCTTCAGGGCTTAAGCGTGCTTAAAGCGCGCCTTTGATAACACTGCTTCCATTATGATGGATAAGTGGACGGCAAGAAATGAAAAAATGATCATCAATATCCTGGTGAATTCTCCTAAGGGAAGCTTGCTTCTTGAGTCCGTTGATGCAAGCAACTATTCTACTGATTCAACCAAAATGTACTCCTTGTTCAAGAGTACAATAGGCTCTATTGGAGAAGAAAATGTTGTTCAAGTTGTCACGGACAACGCCAGTGAAAATGTTAAAGCTGGTGATTTGATGTTTGCAGAGTACCAGCATATTTATTGGACTCTGTATGCAGTACATTGCATTAATTTGATCTTCGGTGATATTTTCAAGGAAAGACCCTTCAGTTCAGTCATTAATCGGGCAATTAGAGAGCATTCCTATATTGTTCAAAGGCATTTGTTATTGAATATGATGAAGAGATTCACTGAACAAAGAAGCATGGTGAAACTTGCAAAGGCAAGATTTGCTACTGCTTTCTTGACTTTGCATAGGATGTATGAGCAAAAAAGCAATTTGAAGTTGTTTGTTTCAGATGAGTATACTAACAATGCCTATGAAAGGGAAGCTCGAGGGAGAGAATCTGCAGATATTATGCTTTCTACTTCATTCTGAAATAATGTGGTTCATGCATTGAAATTTGGTGGTCCTTTAGTTAAAATGCTTCGTTTGGTGGATGGGGAGCAAAGGTCACCAATGGGCTACCTTTACGAAGCAATGGATAGGGCAAAGGACACTATTTGAGACTCTTTTACAGATCAAAGAAAATATAAAAGAGCCTTTGAGATCATAGATGAAAGGTTAAGCGATCAGATTCATCGCCCTCTGCATGCAGCTGGACTTGTTTTGAACCCGGAACTGTTTTATGACAATGAAGAGAGGATTATAGGAGATGAAGAATTGTGGAATGGAAACATTGAATGTACTGAGAAGTTGATACCTAAAGAATTCGTGCAAGATAGAATAACAGAGCAATTTAGTACTTATACAGTTGCTTATTGTTAATAAGTTAATTCTTTATAAATATTATGTTTTGAATATTTGCTCTACTTCTACAGTTGAATAGTGGAAGCAATATGGCCATTCCACTCCAGAATTACAAAAGTTTGCCATCAAGGTTCTAAGTCTAACGTGTAGCTCATCCGGGTGTGAAAGGAATTGGAGCATGTTTGAACATGTAAGAACTAGGAAGAAAGATTTAGTATATTGAGATAATTAAATTATATCTCAATTGTCCTAATCTTACTAATTACATATTATTTGCAAATTCATACCAAAAAGAGGAACAAACTAACCTTGAAGCATCTCAATGATCTAGTCTTCATTAAGTACAATATAACATTGAGGCGTCGTTACAACGCTCGCAATGTAATTGATCCAATTAGTTTGGACACCATCGATGATGCTAATGAATGGCTAATTAGAGTCCCGGAAGATCATGCTGATGAAGAAGTATTTGAGGAAACTTTTGATTTCACTTGGGGTGATATTGTGGAGGCACGTGGAATTGGGGAGAGGAATTATGGTTTGAGGGGGAGTACCTCAACTTCAAGCTCACAGAGGAAGGGAAAAGAAGCATCTACTTTGTCCCTAGTTGATGAAGAAGAAGAAGATGAAGAAGATGAAGAAGATGACGAGTAATATAATAATGATAGTGAAATACAAGAATTTGACAATCTTGTAAAAGAATAAGATGCTCATTTTGTACTTTAATTGATGCTACTCTTTAGTTTTTACATTGAAGTATTGAACATTTGCTTACAGTTATATGTGTTGTATATGCAATATTTATTTTAATATTTTTTTTTAAAATTTCGCTTCACTTCAAAAAAGCGAGCACTTCACTTCTCGCTTCTCGCTTTAAGCGAAAAGGGGCTTGCCGCTTTTCCTTGCTTCACGCTCTTCACAGCACTGGGTTGGCCTGAGTTTCTAACAGTGCGCCACTGGTCATGAGGGATTTCTCAGTAATAAAAAAAACTATGCATTGATCCCAATCTAGTCTAGCATATATTTCCTTTTCACATTTCAATCCTCTATATCCTTTATTCCGATACCCATAACACATCTTAATTTAGATTAACAACTAAACTTCCAATAATCTAACACTCCAATCTACCAAATCGAAAATCCAACCTTGTTGGAGAAAAAAAATACAGAATAGAAACAGGAAAATTAACAGACCCTAATCAAAGGAAACGTGATATTCAATTACTTAAAAATAACTAAAATCATCTCAAGGAAAAACTGAATATTGGATCAGCCAAAATATTCAAACAGACCCAGCTAATAATAAAGTAAAAACAGCCCAAAAAACACAATGGGCCAGCTATTACTTCAAAATAATCAACACCCACATAATTATTTCAAATAAAAATTGGATCTTGCAACATAATTAACACTAAAACAAACCAACAAAATCAAAAACTAGAAATACCCCAAAAGGTAATAAATTAAATGAAGACCCAAATTTACCTGAGGTTCAACGGTTAGATCTTGAAGGTCGTTGACGAGTTGGGGAAATTCAAACTCGACAACTGTGGCCATAAGGTAAAGTTAGGGTAAGGTTAAAATAGAGAAACGGAGAGATAATTATATACTCTACCGACTAGTTTCAGTATATATAAAAATGGAGAAAATTACAGGAAAAGGAGGGGGGG